CTTTACTGCCCGGTCACATCAGCATCCGGGGAGCTTCCCTGTGCTGGGCGTGGAGTGGGCAGGCACGTGGGCATTGAGCATGTGGCACAGTGAGCCGTGTCCACAGGAGGTGAAGCTGGGCTGGACGCAGTGCAGACCTGAGGAGGGACACGTGGTGTGGTCCCGTGTTCCAGGGGGACTTGGGTCCCTGGGGACTCAGCGGGGGGGACGACTCAGGGAGGGGACCCGGGGGATCAGGGAGGGGACCCGGGGGACTCAGCAGTCCTGGGGCCTTACAAGCAGCAGCCCCCACTTTCTGACATGGGGAGCAGCCTCCCTTAGCTGCTGCGGGTGCAGAGCCTGCAGCTGGGGGAGGCGGTCGAGCCCCTGGGTGTGCTCCCCCCGTGGAAGGAAGGGCACTCAGGGAGCACAGGGGCTGGGCCAGGTTTGCTGTGATGAGGCCTCTCCCCGCCCCAGCGCCCCAGCCCCAGGTGCGCCCCACCCCTTGGCCTCTCCCCGCCCCAGCACCCCAGCTCTGGGTGCACCCCATTCTTGGCCCGGGTGCTCTGGGCGCCCTCAGCACCCCCAGCCTCAGGTGCACCCCATCCTCGGCCCCGGCCCCTGCAGCTCCTGAGCGGGCAGGGAAGAGCGTGTCCCGGGAGCTCCGCGAGGCAGGCGCCAGGCCGGCTCTCAGGCTTGCCAGGGGCTGGTCAGCCACTCGGAGACTCGCTGGGCGGGCGGGCACCATCCTGGGTGTGGACGTTGCCGGGAGACAGTCTGTGAGGGAAGGAATTCCCGGGCGCCTGCCCGCGGGAGGCGAGCCTCCTCCCAGAGGGGACGTCCTCGCGAGGGTCTGGGGCGGGAGCCGTTCGATCGCGTTTTCTGGTCCTCGTGTGACTGGGGAAGGGAGAGGGGCCGTAGGTTTGAAGGATCGCTCCCCGTTTGCATGAGGACCTCACAGACAGGGACCCCGAGTGCTGTGGGCCGCACACCCAGCCCGTCGGGGAGTGGGACCTCGGATGCTTCTAGAACAGTGGTCCTCAGCCTTCCTGAGGCCGCGCCCCTGTAATACAGCTCCCCATGCTGTGACCCCAATGTCATTGTTACAAATGGAACATAATTGAAGCAGTGATTCATCACAAAACAGTACGTAATTATACATGTGTTTTCCGATGGTCCTAGGCGACCCCTGTGAGAGGGTCGTTCGACCCCCAAAGGGGTCGGGACCCACAGGCTGAGACCGGGTCCAGGAGAAAGCTTTCCGGGGACTCGCAGGAAGGGCCTCGCGTGGAGCACGCGTGTGTGTGTGTGTGTGTGTGACGTGGGCTGTAAGAGGAGGCGGAGCCGGGAAGGCGTGTGCGTGTGCGTGTTCACCGCGGCCGCTCGGGAGCCTGTGTGTGGCCCAGAACGCGGGACGGGTTTTCACCAGGAAAGGCCCGAGATGGCGCCTCCTCCTCGGCCTCCACTGGCCCCTCTGGCCGCTGGCCCGTCCGCCCCGCCTCCCAGAGGCTGGTAAATGGCTCCTTGTTCGCAGACAATTAACAGAAGAATTGCAAAATGAGGGCTCGGCTGAAACACGCCACAGCTCCCGCACAAAGGCTGCTTTCACGGGGGCCTCCGCGTAGCTGGCCAGCAGGAAGGGCTGCTTGTCCGGGACGTGGTGTGTGAGCCTCACGGCCACAGAAAGCGAGAATCTGGAGCAGCAGCGAGAAGCGCGAAGAAGAAAATCGGCCCCGGGGGGGGGGGGGGGGGGCTCCGAGCCAAGCAGACCCACTCCCCGGGGTCTGTCCAAGGTGACCCCAGAGGTCCCAGAGGTCAGGGTCGTGCCCTGGGGCCTGGGACTGTGGTGGGGAGTCCAGACCAGGACCCAAGGTCAGAGCTCTTCCTCCTAGAGCCCCAGATTCCCCCTGAAGTGCAGCGAAGGGGAGACGAAAGGCTGGCTCGGGCTCCCCTCCGCGGGGAGCTCCCCTACTGACCACACAGCCCTCGGGGCGCCCTGAGGGCGGGGCCAGGACGCAGACCACAGATGGCAGACAGGAGGGCGGGAAGGAGGGAGGGGAGGAGGGAGGGCAGGAGGGAGGGAGGGAGGAGGGAGGAGAGGAGGGAGGGAAGAAGAAAGAGGCTCTCACTCTCACACTTTATCGTGGACACGCCTGTTGATCGGGGTCACAGGCGGGGCCTAGGCAAGTCCCCCTTGACCCCCGTAACGTGACCTTATTCTCATTAAAGGCCACATGGGCGTTCAGTGGCCATTTGTAGTTCACAGTGATTGACAGGCGAGTGAGGCTTATACCTTTGTAAGCTTTTGGGCGGGAACACGGGACACGGAAACGCTGACGTTCGTCTTTATAGACGTCACCTGCCCGACTTCGTTAGTGAGTGTGGCCCCTGCCCAGCGTCTCCCCGTGTCCACCATAGGCTGTGCCCTCAGTGCCCGGCCCCGGCGGACGCAGGCTCCGCACAGTGGGTCCCTCTTCCTGTCACTTGCACGCGATGTAAACAGTGGACAGCGGGAGCTGCGTCATCCGGCCCAGGCCCCCCACCCCCAAGCCGGAGCCTAAAATAGACTCACGGAGGAGCCCTGACCCCTCACGCCCGCACCCTCTGGTGCAGGAAGGGGAAGCCAGGCATGGCCTCCTCCCCACATCCCGGGCGAGGGAGCCGGCGCCCTGGTCCCCAGGCCAGGCCACCCACGGGCACCGGGAACCAGGGGGTGAGTGACAGGTCAGAGTCCCAAACACGGAGGACCCTGAGGCCGGGCCCCCCCGGGTGTGGCAGGGAAGGGAGGAGGTGAGGACGGAGGGCGTGGCCAGGACCACGGCCGGCTGTGTGGGGAGGTACAGGGACCTAAGGAAGCTCCTTGGGCCCCGATGGGGTCGGAGCTGAGGTGCGGGGGTCCCCGTGGGCATCCCCCACACTGCGATGCTCATCCCAGGGGGCTGCACCCAGGAAGCTGGGGCACTGCCCCAGGGCCCCCCGCGGACCTGGGGAAGGGCCCCTTGCCGACCTGGGGAAGGGCCCCCCGCGGACCTGGGGAAGGGCCCCCCGCGGACCTGGGGAAGGGCCTGTGCGCCCACAGTGGCTTCCCGTCCGGAGCGGAGACGGCCGGCCCTGCACAGGCCCCGCAGAAGGCGGCTCCCAGGAGCATCACCCTAAGTTCCCGCGAGGCTGGCGCCCGCCCTGCTCTAATGGTGCCCAGGCCCTGCAGCTGAGCCCAGAGCCGGGCTGGGCAGCCAGGCGGGCAGTCCTTTTAGAGACTCGCCACAGAACTGCGTGTCTGTCCGTCCGTCTCTGGCCTGTGGGTCCTCGAGTCCCGGGCTGAGAGCACCCTGCCCACACTGCGCCTGGCTCCTCGGCAGCGCCTCCTCCTGGTTGTCCTCCCGGTTGCCGCGTTTGGCTCTGCCCCTGGGCCTGGGAGTCAGGATGCCTGGCAGGGAGACAGTGCTCCAAGGGTCCCTCACCTCTGCAGCCCCTTCGCTCTGAGCCCTGAACCCCAGTTTTTGTCTCCCCAGAGCTGTGGCCTGCCACCGCCCAACCACGGCCTCCGCTTGGCCTCCGTTCCACACGCTCCACGTGGAAACGTTGAGGCTGGAGACACAGCGTGGTGTCGACTGGCTACGCGGCTTCTCTTAATGTCCCTGCTCTTCACAGCCCCTCGTTCCAGGGCAGAATGCAGAACAGCTTGGGTCTCAGTCGTGCTGTTGTGACTGTGGTGGTTTTAAACGTCCCCAGAATCCGTGGCCTAGAGGCCTGTCCTGGCACTGGCACAGCCCCTGGTGGATGAGCTTCTCATCAGTGGGATGTGGGAGTTTCTGTGGGATCCGTGGGACGCGTGGGATCCTGTGCGACACGTGGGATCCGTGGGACGTGTGGGATCCGTGGGACGTGTGGGATCCGTGGGACGTGTGGGATCCGTGGGATGGGTGGGATCCGTGGGATCCGTGGGACGCGTGGGATCCGTGGGACGGGTGGGATCCTGTGGGACGTGTGGGATCCGTGGGACGGGTGGGATCCGTGGGACGTGTGGGATCCCATGGGACGTGTGGGATCCCGTGGGACGGGTGGGATCCCGTGGGACGTGTGGGATCCCGTGGGACGTGTGGGATCCGTGGGACGGGTGGGATCCGTGGGACGGGTGGGATCCGTGGGACGGGTGGGATCCCGTGGGACGGGTGGGATCCCGTGGGAAGTGTGGGATCCGTGGAACGTGTGGGATCCTGTGGGACGTGTGGGATCCGTGGGACGGGTGGGATCCTGTGGGACGTGTGGGATCCGTGGGACGGGTGGGATCCGTGGGACGGGTGGGATCCGTGGGACGTGTGGGATCCTGTGGGACGGGTGGGATCCTGTGGGACATGTGGGATCCGTGGGACGGGTGGGATCCGTGGGACGTGTGGGATCCGTGGGACGGGTGGGATCCGTGGGACGGGTGGGATCCTGTGGGACGTGTGGGATCCTGTGGGACGGGTGGGATCCTGTGGGACGTGTGGATCCGTGGGACGGGTGGGATCCGTGGGACGGGTGGGATCCGTGGGGCGTGTGGGATCCGTGGGACGTGTGGGATCCGTGGGACGGGTGGGACCCTGTGGGACGTGTGGGATCCGTGGGACGGGTGGGATCCGTGGGACGTGTGGGCTGGGTGTCCCACAGGCAGCTGTGAAGGCTCTCGGCCTCTCCCCTGCATGACAGGGGCTGGGCTGGGTGGGTTGCACCTTCGGGTGAAGACGCCACGGGCAACACCGTGCTCAAGTGGGAAGTGACCTGAGTGACCAGCTGGGGGGGCGTGTGGGCTGTGTGCCCTCCCACGGCTCCCACGGCGGCGCTTGCTGGGAAGTGGCCTTGCCCTTGTTGGTGACACGGCCCTGGGTCGCCGAGCCCCCCACTTGCACGGCGAGGACAGCAGCTCACGCTTTCCTGCCGAGCGCTGTGCGGGGCTGAGGCCACGTGACCCTCGTGTGGCCAGGCGTCGGGGGGCCTGCTCCTTGCAGACAGAACAGTCTCCGCCCCTGCCCTGTCTCCAGAGCCACGTGGCCCCGAGGCCCTCGCTCGCTCTGTGGGGATGTCCGAGAGCCCCGCGGGACCCAGACCCTCGGCGCCGCCCTTCCCGCGGGCCTTCGCCGCCTCCTGCGCCGCCTCCAGCAGCGGCCCCGGCTCCCGGAGGGACAGGTCAGTGGGCAGCCGTGGCTGGGCCGTGGGAGGGTTGCCCGTGGCCCGCGCCATCTGACTCTTGTTCTTCCTGCGTCTGCTCTGACGCTTTGCCTCCCGAACAGCCCCGTGTCTGCCGAGCACCCGTGGGTGGACACCAGCCCCAAACCCACGCCGGCCCTGCCTGGGAGCAGCCGGCCCCCCCCGGAGCCTCCTGGGCCCCAGCCAGTTCCCGGGTCCCGGCCAGGACGGGCCCAGCCCCGGGCGGCCGCACCTCCCGCCCGCCGAGCTCCCGCCCGCCTTCCACGGCCCCGCGCTGTCGCTGGCGGAGTCTCCCGAGGCGCCGGGCCCCGCGAGCAGCCCGGCCTTCCTGGGCTTTGGCGCGGCCCCCGGGGGAGGCGGCCTGCCCCCCACGGAGGCCCCGGGGGCCCTGCGGGCAGCGGCAGTGACTGCGGACAATGGCTTCCTGCCCCCCTTCCTCCCGGGGGGGCCCGGGCAGCCGCCGCTCCCCGAGAAGAAGCGGGCCTCAGAGGGCGACCACTCCCTGGGCTCCGTCTCCCCAGCCTCCAGCGGCTTCTCCAGCCCCCACAGCGGGAGCACCATGAGCATCCCCTTCCCCAGCGTGCTCCCCGACTTCTCCAAGCCCCCCGAGGCAGCGGCTCCTTCTCCGGGTACGTGGGTCCCTCTGGGGGGGGCCCTTGGGAAGCGGGGAGCCTCTGTGCCGGGCCGGGCGCCTCCCACCGTCCTCCCCGCGGCGGCTGCGTGTCCCGGGAGCCTCCCTGCCCCTGAGAGGAGCACCTGCCGTGGGCGACCCCCTTCCCTCGGAACCAGGGGCTGGAGAAGTAACTGGTTTTGAATTAAGCGAATTCGTTTCCAGTAAGTTCTTTCACACTCTTACGAGCTCGGCACCGGGAAGCACGGCTCGCCTTGCTTTGTGCCCGTCTGTCTGTCTGCTTTTTTTAAAAATGAAGGAAGAACTCCGTTCTTTTTAAAATATAGAGAGACTTTTTATTGACTCCAGAGAGGAAGGGAGAGGGGGAGAGCGAGAGAAACATCAATGATGAGAGAGAATCATGGATCGGCCGCCTCCTGCACGCCCCACACTGGGGATCGAGCCTGCCCCCCAGGCCTGTGCCCTGACCGGGAATCGAACCCTGACCTCCTGCTTCATGGGTTGACGCTCAGCCACTGAGCCACTTGGGCCAGCTGAGCCCCCGTCTTTCTAAGGACGTGTTGTTGGATGTTCCCCGGACCCGACTTCCGTGTCTCACCCCCATTATTCAACAGCCCGTGCCTGACCCCCATCAGCCCAGGGGGGGACGACCCTCAGCCCCCGGGAGGTGAGAGCTGGTGACACAGCGCCTGTTTCAACCCCGTTTTACAGAAAACCCAGGTGAGAAGCAGGTGACGGTGAGCTTTGTGCAGGACACCTCCAAGTTCTGGTACAAGGCGGACATCTCCAGGGAGCAAGGTGCGTGCGGGCTCGGCGTCAGCGTGAGGCGGGGCCGGGGGAGAGGGGCCAGGCGGGAGGGAGGACTGGAGTCCCGGCGTCTGCAGGGCACACCTGCGATTGTCCACAGGGAGAGGCGAGTGCTGAGTGGCAGGGGCTGGTGACAGACAGCCCCTCGCTCCCACACCCCTTGTCCGGGCGCCTCGGGCAGCTCCGGAGTCCAGGCACCGTCGTGGGTTTTTGTTTTTAAATATGTTCTTATTGATGTCAGAGAGGAGGGGGGAGGGAGAGAGGGAGAGAGAGACATCCGTGATGAGAGAGAATCACGGATCGGCCGCCTCCTGCACCCCCCACACTGGGGATCGAGCCCGCAACCCGGGCCTGTGCCCCTGACCGGAATCGAACCCTGACCTCAGCCTGGTTCACGGGTCAACGCTCAGCCCCTGAGCCCCGCCGGCCGGGCTGCGTCCGTGGTTCTGGGCAGCTCAGTCCTGGGTAGCTCTTAGGGGAACAAGAGTAGACGAGCTGCCGCCTGGGAGCCGAGCGGGGCCCCGGGGGGAGGAGGCCTCCCAGCAGGACTCGTGGTCCCCAGGGCGCTGCTCCGCCCACGGGGCCTGCTGCCCTGGGGAGGCTGAGTCACAGCCACGTGGGGGTCCCTCCAGGGCGTCCCCCAGAGCAGAGGGCGTGTGACCGGCCAGGAGCCTGGAGACGCCGCCCAGATCCCAGGAATGACGTTCCCTCGGCTGCCTGGTGGCGGCTGAGAGGGGGTCGGCTTCGCTCGGTGGGGGCGGCCCCCGGCGGCCAGGCCGCTGTGCCGGGGCCTCAGCCTCGGGGCTCCCGGAGCCGCCGGGACCAAGGAGCTGAGTGGCTGCGGACAGCCCGGCCGGCTTCCTGGCGCAGCCTGTCCGTCAGCAGAAGCGATGGAGAGAAGCGGCTTTTCTCCCAGTCAGTGACCCTGTTGTCCTCCTGGGAGCCCGCGGCCCAGCCCCCTCGCGCCCTGCGCTGGCCTCCGTGGCCCAGCTGGCTCCGCGGTCAGGCCTCCATCCCGACCGCCACCCGCTCTGGTCGCAAGAATCCCCACGACTGTGCCCGTCAACTCCGGCCCTCGGCCCTCGGCCGCTGGACAGACGCTGACCACAAGTGCTGTCGGGCACCGTGTTCTAGAATATTCCACGTGGGCCCGTCTTCCACCAGAGCAGCCTTCTAGACCAGGGGCTGGGCTGGCGGGGCCGCCCCTCCTCTGAGGGGAAACCAGGGCTCCCCAGGAAGCAGGCGGGCATGGCCGCGGGCAGGTGACTCCCTGGTCTTGGGGTGGGGACGGGGCGGGACGCTGCAGGAGGACAGAGCAGGACACGGAGGGGAGGGGGCGGGATACGGGGCAGGACGCCGGGGGTGGGGGCACCGCCTGTCGCCGAGTCTCAGCCGCACAGCGCAGGCCCTTTGGGGGAGCTCGTCTCAGAGACGCTGCTGTGCGCCTGGTGATGTTGGAGCTGAACTCACGTCCCTTCTAGACGTTTATAAGGAGGCCGGTCCGACGGGCGCCCACGGGGTGGCGTGTGCTGCCCCCGGGCAGAGCGCTGTGGGCTGCTTTGTCTGTAGGGTCGGGGTGCGCCTTTCCGATCAGAGCCACAGGGGAGCTTCAGGAAGAGGCAGGCGGGGCCGCCAGCCCGAGTGGAGCCCAGTGGGCCCCGTGTGACGTGGGGACATGCTCCCTGGGTGCTTCTGAGATGGACGTAAACAGCTCAGGAGGGAGCGGCTGCAGGAAGCGGATGGGACACAGCTGTCCTGCGGCTGCTCTGGGCCCCCGAAGGCGCCTGTGGGGGATGGGGGGGCGGCCTCGGACGGACACTGACGTCGCTGATGCCATTTCCTGCCCCTCACTAGTCTGTCCTTTGCCCAGAGAGGGGCCCTGTCTTCGGGGCTGGAATTTGTATTTATGCTTGAAATCCCTAGTTTTTTCCTTCTCTCTCTTTTTTTTTTTTTTTTTTTTTTTTTTTTTTTTTTGTAAATACTAAACCCTATAGAAGAAACTCTGAATTGTTACGAGAGAAACTCTGGCTGTGTCTGGGCAGCATCGGCCTGAGGGTGCCGTCACCCCAACACGCCCCTCTTCCTCCACCGTGAGCAGAGGACTGGGTGCCAGGCCCCAGCAGGGAGGGGTATTTTTAGGGAACAGTTACGAGCTAAATGCCCCCGTCACCCAGGAAAGACGGAGCCCAGACGTGCCAGCTCCGCTGTCGCCCGAGTCGGTGCTGGTCCTGGGAGGACTTCCCAGCGTCCAGGCGCGCACAGCCACCCCTCGGGCCTGTCTCGGAATTTGTATCAACTATTGAACCCTGAGTCACACCTCAGGGCAGGTCTATGTGGATGGAAACCTTTCCTCCTGTGGGAAGCTGGTCCCCCGCCCCCTCGCACCCCAGGCTGTGTGCTCTGGGCCCTGGCTGCCAGCCGGGGCTGCGTGTGGGCCTCACGGCTACTGGTGGCCACTGGACGGGGGTCTGTGACCCAGAGGGAGGGGCCGCCTCTCGCATCTGTGTCCTCAGATGCACCGCGTGTCATCCCGGAGACCTCCCCCAGCGGGAGCTGGCCCTCACCCACTGGCCCAGGTGGCAAGAGGAGAAGAGGGCCTTCGCGGGACATCACGGGGAAGAACGTGCACCCACAGACCCTCGTGCCCCCCCCCCCCCCCCACAGCCATCGCCATGCTGAGGGACAAGGAGCCCGGGTCCTTCGTCGTCCGGGACAGCCACTCCTTCCGAGGCGCCTACGGCCTGGCCATGAAGGTGGCCACGCCCCCACCCTCCGTCCTGCAGCTGAACAAGAAAGGTGGGTGCCGGCCCCCACATCCTGGTTCTGTGCCTGCCCTCGCGACGCGGCGCTCACAGGTGCCTTCTTGGTGTTTGTCTTCTCGGGGGCGTTTTATTAAGCTCGGTCCTCGTGCGAAAAGGAAGCTTAATTCTTTGTAAGTTTTACTTCCTCATTGAACGGTGGCCCTCCCCACTGTCCAGGGATCCGATGGTTGTCCCAGGTCCCTGCCAGGCGCTCCCCCCGTCCAGCAGGGGTGTCTCCCCAGCAGGCGGCCCGCGCCCGTTTCCTTACATAAAGGGCACACTGTGTGCACGGCGCTGCCCTGCCCCAGGACTCATGGCCTGGCGGCTGCAGGCGTAACCTACCCTTCTCAGGCGAGGACAGCACCTGCCTCCTGCTCGGGATCGAGATGGCTGCGTCCACATGTGTGTGGATGTGCCACAGAGCGGCCTCCCAGCAGCTCCTCGCTCTGACCACGACTACCGCCTCTTCCTTCTGACCTCCGCCTCCTCCCTCTGACCTCCGCCTCCTCCCTCTGACCGCCACCTCCTCCCTCTGACTCCGCCTCCTCCCTCTGACCTCCGCCTCCTCCCTCTGACCACCGCCTCCTCCCTCTGACCACTGTCCTCGCTCTGACTGCCGCCTCCTCCCTCTGACCACTGCCTCCTCCCTCTGACCACTGTCCTCGCTCTGACCACCGCCTCCTCCCTCTGACCACTGTCCTCGCTCTGACTGCCGCCTCCTCCCTCTGACCACCGCCTCCTTCCTCTGACCGCCACCACCTCCCTCTGACCGCCACCTCCTCCCTCTGACCACTGTCCTCGCTCTGACTGCCGCCTCCTACTCTGACCACTGCCCTCTCCCGCCCTCGCGCCCAGTGTCTAACGCTCTTCCTTTCGGTTAACCTCCTCCGCAGCTGGTGACTTGGCCAACGAGCTGGTCCGGCACTTCCTGGTCGAGTGCACCCCGAAGGGCGTGCGGCTCAAGGGCTGCTCCAACGAGCCCTACTTCGGTGAGTGCGGGCGTGGCCCAGCGGGGCCTTCGCTCCCCAGAGCGTCCCTCTCAGCGTCTCCTGTAGTCCCGCCTCCCAGGCTCCTGTCCCCCACGCCCGCCCCTGAGTGAACAGGGTGCAAAATGGCCCTGGAAAGCCTGCTCCACGCCCAGCAAACGCAGAGCCAGGGCGGCCGGAAACGCGGGGGCAGCAGAGACGGGCCGGCCTCTGTGCAGGCAGCCCGGACCCCGCAGGCCTGTGGGGTGGCCCTGAGCACTGGGCGAGGCCTGGGTGCTCTCCCGCGGCCCTGGAGCCACGTCCAGAGACCCGGGAAGGTCGCCGCCCTGACTGGCGGACAGTGGCTTACTCTTACGAAGCCTGAGGACCGTGTCTGCCGCGAACCCTTGCTGCTCGCACCCCCCCTCCCTGTTTGCTGACGTTTTGCACAAAGTCCCCCCACAAGGCAGCGCGTTGGCTGTGGGCTCCCCGAGCGGGCAGATGGGCGGGCGGTGCCTGTCGGGGCCCTGCTGACCTGTCTGCCCCCCGCAGGGAGCCTGACGGCCCTGGTGTGCCAGCACTCCATCACGCCCCTGGCGCTGCCCTGCAAGCTGCTCATCCCCGACAGAGGTACGTGGGGGGAGGGGGGGAGGGGGGCGTCGCCACGGGGTCAGCCACGCGGGGTCAGGACCCGCCAAGGCCCGGGGAGAGCCGGCGCGAGGTTTTACCCACCTGTCCTCCGGGCTGAGCCCTAGAGAAGGCTGAGTGGCCGACCAGGTCAGGGACAGGAAGGTGGCCCCTTGTGCCCTCACCAGCCGCCGTGACACCAGGCCTCGCAGAGGCTCCGGCAGCAAAGGCTCCGGCTCAGACCTACAAATGCCGCCCTTCGAGCCGCTGACCTCACCTGTGATCCCACCGTCAGCGGAGCGGGGGCACTGCGGGCTCAGGGCGCTGGGCGGGCTCTCGCTCCCTTCGTGGGTGTGAGAACAGCTACGGGCACAGGCAGCAGCGCACACGCCCACGCGTGTCCAACCCCGTGTCCCAGCTCCGGTCACGTTACTTTATTCTCTGCCGTGAAGACGAATTCACAGCCCAGGTCAATGTCGTTTACCTTGTAGAACTCACTAGAGGCCGGTGCCCGGAGTCGTGTTCAGGTGGGTCCCTCGGCCCGGCCTGCGGGGATCGGGCCGAAACCGGCTCTCCGACACCCCCCGAGGGGTCCTGGATTGCGAGAGGGCGGTTCTCGGGTGACGCACCCCGGAATCGGGCTCCCTCCTCTCTGGTTCCAGTGCGTCACCCGAGAAACGCAGCTGCCAAGTCACCGCAGCTCGGCAGCTCCTGTGCTGAGCGCTGCCCCCTGGTGGCCAGTGTGCGTCATAGCAACCGGTCAGACGGTCTGACAGTTGGAAGGTCGCTCAGGCTGTGATATAGGTAGATTTAGGCCCACGGTTTCCCACCGGTGCCGCGAGGTTATGGCGCACACAGCCCTGCCTGTGGCCTGGCCCGGCCTCTTCTCCCCGAGGCTGTCCAGTGACTGGCCAGCCACCCAACAGCAGCCGCCGTGTGAAGGAATGAAGTCACACCCATTGCTCTTGGCAGGGCGGCAAAGTACATATTTCTTGCTGAGCCACAGAATGCTAGCCCTTACTTTGTGTGCCGTGAGACGGAAAGGCGGAACATCGCTGCTGTGAATACACTCTGAGGTTCAGAGTCAGGACGCCCCATGCTGGCCGGGCCCGGCTTTTCTCAGATGGGGGGCCGGCCTCGGCTGGACGGCACGGCCAGAAGCTTCCGACCGCCAGGCAGGCAGGCCGTCCGGGCGCTCGGCCGGGCTCGCGGGTTGTCGGAGGATCCCTCCTGGCTCAGCGTCTCAGCACCACGGTGTCCCGCCCCTTCCGCAGACCCGCTGGAGGAGGCCCCGGACAGCCCGCCCCAGACGGCGGCCAACTCGGCGGCCGAGCTGCTGAAGCAGGGCGCAGGTGGGTCTCGCCCCTCCCCCGGTCGGGCGGCGGCGGAGTTTGGGGTCCCCTCGGGTGTCTGGGGCTCCTCTCCTCTGCATGCCCGACGGCTCCTTCCACGTCACGGCTGGAAGGCGGCTCCGCGGCTGGAAACGCGCCTGGGACTCCGACGTGGCCCAGCTCGGGGGGTACGTGCCACGTCTGTGCTGAGCCTGGGGGAAATGTCATGAGACAGGATGGGGGGCCTGCCCTTCTGGATGCCACTGAATAAGCCCACGCTGCCCCCACCCACCCGCACCCCAGGGCGACACCCCCCACCCGGCAGCCTCCCCAGAGCCCTTTCATAGACCTAATTTTTATAGAGCAGTTTTAGGGTTACCGCAAAATGGAGCAGAAGCCACTGGGTTCCCATAGAGCCCTCCCCCTGCACCCCCACCCCCAGGACTATAAACACCCCCACCGGGTGGTACAGGCCTCGCGGCTGAGGGACCTGCACCGACGCGTCACCACCAGGTCCACGGACTCCGTGAGGGCCCCTCGGTGGCGTTGAGGGGGTGGGACAGGTGCACACGGACAGCCTCAGCCTCCCGCCCGTCCTCCCAGCGACCACCGTCCATCACCGCCCGCAGCTCTGCCTCCTCCAGGGCGCACACGGGTGGAATCACACAGTGTTTGAGTTTTTGTTTTTATTGGTTTCAGAGGGGAAGGGGGAGGAGAGAGCGAAAAACATCCACCATGAGGGAGAACCATGTGGACGCCCCACGGTCCCAGCAGCGCTGGCTGGAAAGACCATCTTTCCTCTGCTGGCTGCCCCCACCCCTTTGACAGGGTTGGGGCTGGGTATGGGGTCCAGGTCCAGCTCTGTCCTGCTGTGGGCCTGTCTGTCCTGCCATGGGCCTGTCTGTTCTGCCATGGGCCTGTCTGTCCTGCCGTGGGCCTGTCTGTCCTGCCGTGGGCCTGTCTGTCCTGCCGAGGGCCTGTCTGTCCGTGGGTCTGTCTGTCCTGCCGTGGCCTGTCTGTCCTGCTGTGGGCCTGTCTGTCCGTGGGCCTGTCTGTTCCTGCATTGACACCACGGGGCCTGAGGCTGCAGCTCTGTGGCGGCTGCAGCGGCGCCGCGTCTCCAGCTCCCCATCCCATACAGCGTGGCCTCCCTATGAACTTAGGAGTCCGTGTCTCAGTGTCTACAAAGGAACTTGCCGGGGTTGTTTTAATACTTTTCCTGATTTCAGAGGAGGGAAGAGGGAGAGAGAGAGAAACATGGATGATGAGAGAGAATCATGGATCGGCTGCCTCCTGCACACCCCCTGCTGGGGACGAGCCCACCACCCGGGCATGTGCCCTGACCGGAATCGAACCCGGGACCCTTCCGTCTACAGGTTCTATCCACGGAGCCAAACCGGCCAGGGCAAGGGATTTAGTTAAATCCTCACCAAGGAGTGAGGACATTTTTCCCATTCATTTTTAGAGAGAATAGAAGAGACGGGGAGAGAGAGACAGCGATTGTTCCAAAACACAGGAGAGGCCTGAGTTTCTGTCCGGAAACCTTCGTGCTGACAAGACAGAGAGATGAGGCGGGAACATGGGCTCCAGCAGGGCCGTGAGGGGGTGCCGGCTGCACGCCCCCCTCTCGGGTGTGTCCTTCACTCCGTGTGGCCGGGCCCAGGGCCAGCGTGGCGCTGAGGAGGGTCCCAGCCCCGGGGATGCCAGGCGCACGGGGCAGTGTTCATTCCCCGTCGGCCTGGGCTCCGTGTGTGTCTGGGTCACTCGCTCTCCGGGCCTTGGAATTGGGCAAGGGCAGCCTTCGGGGCACCTGGCACGGCCACAGGTTGAGTCGTCCTGAGCCCCAGGCACCGGCCCGTGTCCGACGCGCTGACCATGCCCCCGTCCGCAGCCTGCAACGTGTGGTACCTGGGCTCCCTGGAGATGGAGTCACTCACGGGCCACCAGGCCGTGCAGAAGGCCCTGAGCGCCACCCTGGCCCAGCAGCCGCCACCCCTGTCGACGGTCGTGCACTTCAAGGTGTCGGCCCAGGGCATCACCCTGACGGACAACCAGAGGAAGTGAGTGGCGGGCAGGGCGGGCGGGCGGGCTCTGCTCACACCCGGGCGCGCCCCTCAGGCCTCCCCTGGCCGTGCTGGGTCACCCCAGGGAGAGCTTCCATCCCAGAACAGCCAGCGCTCCGTCCGCGCCCCCGTCGTCCCTGGACGAGGGGCTGGGACCCCAGGACCTGGAGGATGTGCGGGTGCAGGAGGGCTGGGCCGTGACCCCGGCCAGGGCAGGGGGGTCATGGTGGTTCTGCCAGAGCCCGGCAGGCCCGGCGCTCACGGGGCTTCCAGGGGCTCCAGCGTGCTCAGCCCTTTACCGTTCACCACGTGCCAGCGCATCTGCCATGGGGGCGCCATGGGCGGGTCCCCAGGGACAATTCCTGCCTGTGCCCCCAGCCCCCTACCCGCTCCACACACGGGGGCCGGCCATGTCCCCCGGGCCCGCCAGCGCCTCACCCTCCCCCCCCCCCCCAGGCTCTTCTTCCGGAGGCACTACCCCGTGAGCAGCGTCATCTTCTGCGCGCTGGACCCGCAGGACAGGAAGTAAGAGCGGGGGTGCCCTGCGTGTGTGCGTGCGCCCGCGCCCCAGCCCGCACAGACGCTGACCTAACTGTTCTCTCTAACCTGGCAGGTGGGTCGCGGACAGCCAGGCGTGCAGGTGAGCCCCGGCTTCCTCCCTCCGAGGGGGTCCCTGGGAGGAAATGGCTGCCCGGGGCCAGGGCTTGGGCATGCGCTCGGGCAGGGGCTGGCTGGCGTTGAGGGTGGCGTGAGCTGGCGGAGCTGGGGTGACGGAGACGCGGTGCCCGGTGTCCACAGGTTCAGAGGGACCGGGTTCATGCCTCACTCTGGGGCGGGCAGTGTGGGGCCCTGCACGCCCACAGGGGGCTGTCCCCCACCCCCTGCCCTAGGATTCCTTCTTCATGGTCCCCCTTGTTTCAGGGTCTGACCAAGTTCCCGGAGGCCAGCGGGGTCCCGGGTCTGGGTGGGTTCGAGCCCCAGGCCCTGGCGGCAGCTGGCTGCGTTCCAGGGGGTTGGGGCGGGGGGGGGGGGGGGGAGATGTGCAAGCCTTTGGGTGACCTGGGCCGCTCCCTCCTGGGTGGGGACGGCTGGACTCACAAAACCCCTTCATTCTTCTAAAAAGGAGAAGGGCCAGCCCGAGGCTGCAGATCTGAGGAGCCTCCCCATGCCCGTGCCCCCAGGGTGTGCAGTGTGACGCAGGTGTGGGGACCGGGGTGGGGTCGGCGTGTCAGTGGCGAGCACCGTCGCTGGTGTCGGCCCCCGCGTGGCCCGTGCTCCCAGCATGTGACACCCAAGAGGTTCAGGGCTCAGGACAGCGGCCGGGTGCCAAGCGGGCGGCCCTGACCTGCTCCCACCCCCGGGGCCCTCACTGCAGAGGCGGCGGCAGCCTCGGGCCGCGGGGTTCGCGAAGGCGCAGCGGGGCGGGCAGGGGTCCGCGTGGCGCGGCCCTGCAGGTCTCTGCCCGCTCACCGTGGCCCTGGCCGGACAGGAGATGGACCCTGACCCCGCCTCTCTCCGTAGAGTCTTCGGGTTTGTGGCCCGGAAGCAGGGCAGCGCCACCGACAACGTGTGCCACCTGTTTGCGGAGCACGACCCCGAGCAGCCCGCCAGCGCCATCGTCAACTTCGTGTCCAAGGTCATGATCGGCTCCCCGAGGAAGATCTGAGCCGCTCCCGGCCGGGCCCCTGCTGGGCCCCTGGGGTGACCCCGACACCTGGCTCCTCCGGCTTCCAGAGACCCAGCCCCTTCCCGAGACGGACACGTCCGCGCGTCCACAGCTGGGCCTTCTGGGCAGAATTGGGCACCGGGGCACTGCCCAGCTCCGCACCCGGGACATGTGTGCAAACGCAGGCTCCCCATACAGGGCCTGTGGGAGGGGCCACCTGCCCGTTCCGCCGTGGCCTGAGGGGCCGCCAGAGTGTCCCCCACTGTGGCCGAGGGCTCCTGTGCCCCCGACGCCCAGGGCCTCTGCCTCAGCAGGTTCGCACCTGTGACGAAGGTCATGCAGGTGGGCCCTTGGGCATGAGGGCACGAGAGGGGACGCGTGGTGGGCTGTGAGGACAAGGGCACCTCCGTGGCCAAGAGCCCCACCCGCCTCGTCACATCGGGTCTGAAGGTGCAGGAGGCCGAGGGGAGAAAGGCGGAGACGGAGGTGAAATGCCGTTTCCGTGTAACCTGCACGGTGTCAGCTGCAGCCGCCGTGCCCGCTGTACCCGCTGTGCCCGCTGTACCCGCCGTGCCCACTGTGCCCACCGTGCCCGCCGTGCCCGGGGCACCAGGACAGGCGCCGTCCTTCCTGGGGCGGGAGATTCTAGAGGGGGGACGTGCTGAGCTCTGGAAGCTCCCGTCCCGCCCCTCGTCCACGTCTGCGACTCCTGGAGGGGCGGCGAGGATCTCTCTCGTGGATGTTTGGGGCCCCCTCCCCCCTCGGGCATGTGCCATGGCCGTGGCGGTGCCGGGCCCATCGCCCGATCCGCACGTGGTCTCGGTTCAGGAGAAGCTGGTGGCCCTGCAGGTGCCGTCCCAGTGACGTCCCCGCCTCCTTCCTCCGAGCCCAGCCCCACAGGCTCCGCCTGAGGCCGGTTCTCTGCTCCAGGAACCAGCCAGCGCCTCGGGCGAGAGGCTGGGACCGCGAGGGCGGTGGGCCCCGGGCAGCTCCCACCAAAGCACCAAACGCAAGTGCCTCATTCCTGTGCCAAACTCCGCCTGGGCCCCTGGGCGGCCTTCCTCCTCTTGTGCCTGTGGCCGCAGGGACTGCTGGGCCCAAGGCTCTGGTTCCTAGGAGCCCCCATGGTTCCTGCGGGAATTGGGAAGCAGACGGGTTGGTGCTGCCCCCCGAGGCCTCGCCCCCTGAGGGCTCACACCCAGGTCTGACCCAAGGCTGCAGGGCCAGCCCTGACCTCCCAGATGAAGATGGACAGGCCTGCAGAGAAGCCAGAGCCAGACGGTGAGACGCGCAGCCCACGGGAGTCACGGACCTGGGCCTCCCTCGCAGCCCCCGTCCTGGACGCCCGAGAAGCCGGGCACCTTTGCTCTCAAACCGACAGTCGGCGGCAACGTGCCCTCCCCACGGTCACGGGCGCCCAGGCTCCCAGGAGCCGGCCCTGGTCGGTACGACAGGCCTCCTCGCGTGTCACACCTGGGGGTGTCGGGCCCTAGGTGAGCCCCGCCGCCCGCCCGGCTCAGCCTGGCAGGACCCTTCCCCCGGCTCCTGGTCCCGGGCGCCGGCGGGCACAGGGCACTGTCCTGGGCCCTCCCGGCAGTGTGCCCCTCGGGTGTCCCGGCCGGGGTCCCCTAGCCCCTCATTAACCAGTCACTGCGCCCCTCAGTGTTAACCTGTAAGCCCGAGGCCCCGAGGCCCTCACGTCTCCCGTGCCTGCACGCCTGGCGTCCGAGCCGCCCGTGTTGTACAGTGTAGCCAGGTGTGAGCGGCTGCTCGTGCGCCGTGTGCACTCTGCTCCCTGCATCTCTCTCCGGAGTATAATAAACATTAACGTTGGTAACCCGGGCCGTCTGCTTCCTGTGGGGACCGAGGGGGGGGGTGCGGTGTGTGCGTGACACGGACCGGGGGGGGGACTGTGCGTGACATGGACGGGGGGGCTGTGTGTGGGTGACACGGACGGGGGGGGACTGTGCGTGACACGGACGGGGGGGGACTGTGCGTGTGTGACACAGACGGGGGGGCTGTGTGTGCGTGACACGGACGGGGGGGCTGTGTGGGGGTGACACGGACGGGGGGGGACTGTGCGTGTGTGACACAGACGGGGGGACTGTGTGTGGGTGACACGGACGGGGGGGACTGTGTGTGACACAGACGGGGGGACTGTGTGTGGGTGACACGGACGGGGGGGGACTGTGCGTGACACGGACGGGGGGGCTGTGTGTGTGTGACACAGACGGGGGGACTGTGTGTGGGTGACACGGACGGGGGGGAACTGTGCGTGACACGGACGGGGGGCTGTGTGTGTGTGACACAGACGGGGGGACTGTGTGTGGGTGACACGGACGGGGGGGCTGTGTGGGGGTGACACGGACGGGGGGGCTGTGTGTGGGTGACACGGACGGGGGGGACTGTGCGTGACACAGACGGGGGGTCTGTGTGTGGGTGACACGTACGGGGGGGCTGTGTGTGGGTGTCTGTGGGAGGGGAGTGGAGGGATCGCTGATGGTCGCGGTGTAATCTCGGGGATCCTCTGCCTTCAGGGTTACTTGAACACGTGCATACAGGGTTTTAAGAATTTAATTCCAGGCCCGGCAGGAATTAAAGTGGTTGAGCATCGACCTATGAACCAGGAGGTCACGGTTCAGTTCCCGGTCGGGGCACAGGCCCGGGCTGCGGGCTGGATCTCCAGGGGGGCGTGCGGAGCCAGCCGTGGCTGAGGCTCCATCACTGGCGATCCTGCCCCCTCTCCCTTCGGCTCTGAAATCCGTGCGTAGATCCGTGTGTTGATCGTGTGGACGTGGATGGACTCGGTCCAGGGCCTGTGCTGTGGTGCCGGCAGGTGTGGGCTGCTCCACCCCATGGCCGGCAGGTGTGGCTGGTTTGGCGCTGACTATGGAAAGGTCACCCCCCCCCCCCCCCGTGTCCAAAAGGTGTGGTGACGGTGGCCCCAGGCCCCCTGGTTGTGTGGGCACCAGGCCCCGCTGCGCCGGGTCCTGAAGCCGAGCAGCCACCCCAGCAGCTGCGCCCTGCGCCTGGGTCACGGGCGAGTGAGGTCTGCGGCGCTGGCGTGGGCGCGCCCGCTCACAGGCCCCGGGACCCCGGCCCGGAAACGAGACGGAACCGGTTCTGTACAGCTGCCCCTCGTTGTGGTTTTCGCTGCAGACCTGAGCCCTCCCGTGGCCTGGAGGCCGCCCTGCGCTCTTCCAGGCGCGCTTTCCGGACCGATCCCTCCTTCGCGGGCCCGGCTCCCCAGGGCGGGACCCCGGCTCCAGGCTCCAGGTCAGCGCAGGCCCTGCCCAGAGCGTGGGCGGCAGCGCCCCCTGGTGGCCGCCGGGCTCACTGCGCGGGGCCGGCCTGCGGGCGCGTTGCTTTCATGCGGAGGGAGGGGAGCTGGAGCCCGTGGTGCTGGCTCCGCACCTGCCAGTTGTGCCCCCACAGGTCGGGTTTTCCCCTTTTTGTGAATCTTCAGGAATGGCCCCAACACTGCGGCCCTTTATCCAAGGGCAGCCGGTCAGCTGGCGTCCGGGCGGGGGGAGTGGGGGTGCACGGGGCCGGCGGGGGGCGGGCTGTCCTGGCTCCGAGCGCGGACTCAGAGCAGCTGCCTGTGGGTGTCGCAGGGTCAGGTCTCCGTGCGGGACCCCCGCCGGGCGCTGCTGCAGGGCGAGCGGACCCCTCCGTCCTGGCCCCTCCTCTGTCCTCAGTGGAGACGCGGGGGGCCGAGTGGGGGAGGCGCCGAGGCCCTGACTGCCGTCCCAACGCCCACCCCGTGTCCCAGGGCCGCCCCTCCGGGACTTTGGGGTAAACCCTGCCCGCACCCCGACCCATCCCTTTGGGGACCTGTGCTGCAGCGTCACCTGACGTCAGGGTCGCCAAGGGGACGGTCCTGCGCGTCCCGCTCACTGTCCCACGTTCTCCCCGGATCAGCTGACCACTGACCCTGAGCACAGCTTTTCCAGGAAATCAGGAAAAACGCTGCATTCCGCTTTTTTTGAAGTCGTCGGAACCACCTTATTTCTGACTCCTTCCTCCGAAGCAGCGGCCGCTGTTGGGCCAGACCTCCCTGGACACGTGGCGCCGCCCCTGCCCTGGCTGTTGGGACCCTGCTCCCCGCGACCTTGACCTTTGCTGTGAAGGAGAGTGAACAGGCGTCTTGTCACGTGTTGTGTCCGGGAATCCGAGAAACCACTGGAGAACAGACGGAACTCAAGCCTTAGGAACGAGCCCGGGTCGAACCCTCGGGGGGGTGAGCGCCCCTCGCCCTCTCCTCGCTCCACACCCCCCCCTCGTTTATCAAAACGGGGCAGGTCCGTTCCGTGGAATCGCCGCTCAGCACGATGGAACAGTCTTTCTACTTCCTCCCATCAACATAAAAGCTGCAACATTCCGTCTAAACGCAGCATCACCACGACCCCAGGTGACAAGATCACCCTCAACTTCCCTCGTGACCAGCGACTCCACTGCTAGGCCTGCCGTCCAAGGAGCTGAAAACGGTGTGGAAACCAACGCAGCAGCCAGCACCCGAGGCGAAGCCAACCACCTGTCCACCCGGCGTCTGTCCACCCCGGGTCTGTCCACCCGGGCGGACGGAGCAAAGCCCTGCGCTCAGTGGGAGGTCGGGAGCCCTGAGAGGGGCCGAGGCAGCGGCCACGTGGATGAGCTTCAAACACCTTGTGAGTAAGGGACCAGACACAGGCGCTCAGTAGGACCAGACACAGCGCGCAGTAGGAGCTCTCGAGGTGACACCGAGGTGACACGTGCAGACGACGCAGGTGGAGGCGGGCGGGGCAGGGGAGCGAGTGACTGCTGAGTGGGACGGGTTTCCTGTCTGTGATGACAGGCTCTGGGGCCAGGGGGCCAGCCACACATTGCATGTGCTGAGCATGTGCTGAGCGTGTGCCGAACTGCACCTCTGCAGCGGCTGAGACTGAATCACACGTTGTGTGTATTTCACCATGAGCACCTGTTGGCCTGGAACGGAGGGTCTGGGAGTTGAGAGGCAGTAAACGCGCGGAAAGACCAGGCTGCCAGGGGGGGTCGGGGGTGGGGGGGCCACGGTGTGATGGTCACGCTACCACTTTCTGCTCTGTGACCTTGGCCAGACCGCTCCTGGCGTCTGGGGGCAGTTCGGCCATAGCCGTTACCAAGCGATGGCGCCTGCCTGGAGGAGTGTGGGCTCCGCTGACCAGGAGGCGGCCTCAGGGGGCCATGACCACAGGGGAAGGAAGAGGCTTCATGTCAGCAGCAGCCACTGGCCGAGCCAGGACGCAGCGGGGCGGGACAAAGCCGGACACGGAGAAATTCCGCCTGCGGGCCCGGGACGCCCGCGATGTGACCAGAGGAAAGGCTGGGTGGGTGCTGCCTGCAGGCCGCCAGCCTCGTGGCCGCGAGGGAGCCCCCGGTCTCTCTAGGTGGACCCGCCCCAGCCCGTGCTCCCACCAGGCAGCCCCGGCCAGCGGGGTCCTCGCGGGGCAGCAGGACGCCAGCTCCACACGTGGTCAGCTGGGGGGGAAGGTCCTAGCAGCTCTAAGAAGTTACACTTTCCTTCCCTTTTTGTACCCAAAGAAGCTGCAGCCTGGAGCCCTGAGGCGATGACAGGGCCCAGCTGTCAGTTTCCTTTGGGGGGGTCCCCGGGGCCACGCTCTCACCCCCTCCCCCCGGCCATTGGGCCGGCCTTGCCTTGTTTACTGGGCTTCGTGCTGAAAGGAATGCTGAGTGCGCAGCTCTGCTCCGCCCGGGCTGGAAGGGCTGGGACAGGCTGACCCGGAGCGAGGCTGGGAGGAGCAGCCGTGCCAGCAGCAGGCTCGGCCGCAACAGGCGTTCCGCCCGGGACACGCGCAACTTTCCTAGACTGTTGTTTATTTTCCTGACGAGGATTCTCGAAAAATCAACAAAAAGAGGTCAACTGTCATAACAACTTCAGAACAACCGTTAGAAACCAAACAAAGGCAGACACTGGAGCTGAGGAGGAGGACTGACAGTCTGTTCGGAGGTTTCCTGGAATCACAGACACTCGGCTGCCCCACGCGGCGTCCCGCACCCCCGTGCGGCCCCGTCCCGTCCCGTCCCCGGCCCGAGGCAGATCCCAGCGGGGGCCTCTGCGGGCGGGGCCGTGCTTGGCTGATGTGCCGGCACCAACGGCTCATAAAGTATAGCAGCCAGAGAGGCTGTGTCCTGGCTTCTCCGTCCAGGAGGCCGAGGACGTCCCCCCAACACAGGGCGGGGCTGGAGCTCACGTGGACGCTGCCTGGGCCCCCGTCCCCTGGGGGTGCCTGCTGGGAAAGGGGACCTCGGGGTGGCTCAGGCATAGAGGCCAGTCCCTGGTGGTGACATGGGACACACCGCTCTGCCCGGCCGGGAGGGCTGGCCAGGGCCCCCGGAGACCACCTACTGGGAGGGGACGTCTCTCGGAGCCACAGCCTACACGGCGATGTGTGTTCCCCAAAGGTGACGGCTCCGTTGTAAAACCAAAGCACGTGTCCCTCTGATGAAAGTCAGATTTTAACCAACAGAGTGGATCCTGCTGGCCTGGGCCTGCTGGTGGCCAGTGGCCGGAGCACCCCTCCCCCAGAACTGATGCTAATGGGGGCCCCATGGGGACAAAGCCAGCACCCCAGCTCCCCAGCCCCTTCTGATCAGAGGCTGAATATTTCAGGAGCTGCTGGCTTGGCCACCCTGCTCCGTGGACGAGCTGCTCCGTGGACGCCCTGCTCCGTGGACGCCCTGTGATTCAGTCGGGACCATCAGATGCAGAGGAAGCAGCTGGTGGGGCCTCCCGGGCCTTGGCCCACGCCTGCCCGAATGCTAAGAATTTCCCCGTAAGCACTGCCTCAGTCACGCACG